TGTGGCAGGGGAATGTGCTGTAATATCTGTTCTCAGCCAAAGAACAGCCGCTATAGATCACCGCTGTTATAGTATGGAGAGTGATTAAACAGCATGGCCTCGGAGATCCCCCATACTGTTTTCGTTTTCAATTTTATCAATATGATTGTCACAAAGCAACAAGACAATGTGTTGTATAAGAACACATGACCTGCAAATGTATGCTGGATTCTCTCAGCATGTACAGGATATGCAAATGTAATTGTATCTTGTGCATAATTGATTTAAAAGCTGCTGCATGCATACATGAAGTTAGTTTTCATCAAGTATCTTCTCAAGCAAGACATTCTGTGTTTGACATCTGTTTTTGTGTGGTGTCTTGTTGTTTTCCTGTATTAATTTTATTTTGAATATTAATTCAATAAGAGATTGCGTCTTACCTACTTGGAGGTCAATATTGCAAGAATTTCACATTTTTATCTGTCTTGGATTCCAGCAGCATGTTTCTCTTTCATTGATACACAGCGTATAGTAAGCACCACTTGATGGATCTCTTAGGTTGAGTTGCGGTATGACCAAACAGCTGTGGTTTGGTAAATTATACGATTAAGGTTGTGTTGTTGTTTTATTTAGCCATGTGAACTCTGATTTTTATTTTGAATGACAAATTATTTCCACTCCTTTGAAGTAATTAAGTTTTTAGATCATCATTCTCCTCCTTAACACTTCCAGCAGTGAGCAGCTGCACAGAGGGCTTAGCATTAGGAGTTGCTCTCTTTGATTTCTTTTGAAGGTATACAGTGAATACTATAATATGATTTTTTCCAGCATCTGGGCTGAAAGAGAGGAGTACCTTCAGGAAGAATGGTGTCACTGAGGAGTATGTGTGTGTGCTCCTCTATAGAGCTCAATTACAAGCACCAAAAAGACCCTCTGCACTGTTTCAAAGTCCAGCTGCATTGAAGTGCAGACCACATTGCACAAAAAAAAATCATACCAGTTTTTAAGATGACATTTCTTTTCTTAGTCCATGCAAAATCATTTTCATAATTCACACTTCAGATTAGCATGTCGAAAACAACAACAACAACTGACTTTAAAGTCAGGATTTAATTTTGACTTTAAATAATATTAATACTCTACACTCTCCTGATATACATCTCCCATTTTTGGGAGAAATAAAGTCAGAATGTCAGGGTGATACAACTGCTCTAAAATTATGATATAGGTAAAAAGAAGAGTAATTTGGCATATATTTGTTTTTTTTTTTTTTTTTAGAAAAACATTTGAAATGCTTTACTTGTTATAGTTTTTCTCCATTGGTTTGGCTCATTTCTTGAAACAAGAAATTACATTCTCAAAACAACATGGACAAATCTCCAAACTACTTGGCAATTGTTCACAACAGAATTGAATTTCTCGTTCAGTTCATCAAATTGCAAATGCCTAAGTACATGTCTCAATGTCTCAGTACATCTTTGCAAATTATTACGTACAGGTAGCCTACATTTAGCACAATTTCCAAGTGAATAGATCTTGTTGATCTAAACTGATTGTTCATTCTCAGTCTAATGGTTGTTCACTCCAAAATGTGTCAGCTTCATTTCATTGTATAAGTCATCACATGCACAATAGTCTGTTCAATCGTCAAAATTAGTCAAGAACATAATACCATGAATACCATATATGAATCCCTTGGAACATTTGATACATTTATTACAGCAATTGTCAGATCTTGACTAACGAAGGAGGAGTTTCAGACATCTCAGATGACTAATCAAACCGTATGTTTGGTCAAAGAGCTGCAATTACTGTAGTGCCTCCCATGTAAATCTGTCTACTGTAATATATATCTTTAGATAATATCTATCAAATCTATCTACTGTAATACTGTGGGTTTTACTGTAACATTTCAGTAAGTCTAGTCATTGATGATTTTCCCCCTCCCCTTTCTGTCAGATACCCCCTGTAGTACCTCTGCATGGGGGTCCATGTACCCCAGGTTTGGAACCACTGGAGTAGTGGCCAGCAGTATATTGAACTTATTATGTTGTTTTGAGAATGTATTTTCTTTTACCTCTGATGTATGGAAGTTACTTTTTGTGTGTGAATGATAATGGTTACAATTCCTTGGCAGTATGAGTGCAATGTGTGATGTACTCTTACCCTAAAATCCCCCCCCCCCCGTATATACGTGTATATATATATATATATATATATATATATATATATATATATATATATACGTATATACTGTATAATAAGATATATAGTAGACTATAGTAGACTGTTAGGTTAGAGTAACAATTGAAAGGTTACTTATAGTTAGTAGAATGTTTAAAGTTGAGCATTGAAATAGTGTTTCCTTAATTTTTACCTGATGATTACTCCACAGGAAACTTTTAAAGTGAAACTTTTCAGTTAAACTTTATTTTAAGGTGTCTTTGTTTTGCTGAAATCATTCATTTAAGTAGTGAGTAATATGGTAATTTGGTGTGAAAAACAAAAAACAAAAACAAAAGAACTCTGGACAGATGAAAACTTGCAAGGTTAGAAACTAACCCATTATGATTTCAGGAAGTGAAACTGGTCATATTTATACCCAGGTTTGAGATGCTTTAGTGTCTGGTTACTGTCTTGTTTAACTGCCAGTGTGCTTCCTGATCATTGTCAGTGTTGCACGCTCCCACCCTATTGACTTAAGAGTGAAGGGCTCCCAGCTACAGTGTTTTCCCACACTACTGTGGAGTATCCCACATGGGAATAGTGATGATGTCATGAGCTACCACAAATTCCAGCACAGAGGCTTGAAAAATGTTGTTATCGTCCTTAAACACGACAACAGGAAGGTGTTGTGACAGATTGCAACATCGGAATTGTTACTCACGTGACAATAAAATTTAATTTGAGCGTTAATTTCATTTCCAACATCTCATATACTCTCTCTTTGATATAAAACGAGTTTATTTTTAAGAATGATCTCCTCTGAGTGTTTTAAGTGATGCACAAAAGCTCCAGTCGCTCAAATAAATGATTATGATTTCACAAACAAACAGCCTCGCCGCAAGTTCGTAATGTAGCCACAAGATATTGATGGCTAAATTGATACTTACTCGATTTAACGGGAAAAATATCCTTTCCTCGTTGTGGAAGCCTAGCCAACGGTCTACCTCAGGAGTCACTGTGGCTGTTAAGGATAGCAGCAGTACTCTTTTAGCTTTGCTCTGCCTCTCCACAACAAACATGTCTTAGAAAAACACAGCCACAAGACCACATTGCGGGCCAAGATCTTCCAGCTCCTGCCTTTGGGGGTTGGCTCAGTCTCCTCGTGCAGTTCTAGCAAAGTGTCCTCTGGCACTCGGCAGTTCTCACACCACTGCGGCTCTCTGACCCATATTTGACTGTTTGGGAAGTCTGCAGCTGGAGGAGCTTGTGGGGTTTTAGAGCCTCATGGTGGAGCTGATTGAGTCGAATATACCTGAACCAGCTGTGAGGCTTTCCGCACACTGCGCAATCCCTCCAAGTTTGTGTTCCTGCAGGCGGGAAGTTAAAGCGGTGTAAAGGATCTGAGAAGCATATGTGCATACAGAGGTTTAAGGGTTGATCTGAATCGCGATAAAAAATTTTTCGTTAACCCGAGCCCCATAAGCGGCTGGGTCGATAGCAGGAAGATTTAAGGACTGTTAATGCAGACAGATGGGCGTATTGTCTGTGAGAAAAGTACCGCACCACCCCCTCTGCCTTCCCAATTGATCCTGCGCTCCCTTAACCTCTATTCTCCGTTGCTCTATTCTTGGCATTTCATTGTGACGTGAAGAAGATAAATAGATTAAGAGAGGAAATGCATTTTATGGGATGAGGGGGTCTTGGGTTATTTGGGTGGTCTGTATGCCGAATCCTATGATGCTTTATGTTAAGCTTCGGCTACGCCTGCATTAATCTGTATAGATTTGAAAATTACATTTTCATTGTGTAAAACATAATAAAAACTCATTGAGAGGATTTCAAGCATATAATTCAAGCATGACCAAACATAATAAAGTTATCAACTAATTAGCTAAATATTAGCAATTAATTAAATATATAACTTACTGCTGCGTCCAGGTCACACTCAATGGCCGTTCCATGCATTGCTTAAAACGCAATTGCACTCTTGCTTTACAGCAGGACAGCAGTTGGGGAAATGTAATATGAAGATTATACAAAGTAAACATAAACACACAGTAGACCTCTATCGTCACAAGACTATACCTGCTTCACGTTATACCTCCACAAATACCTCCATTTTCACAATCCATAAATGCAAAAACAGCATTTTATAATTTATCCACTTGAGAAAGCTTCTTCAAAACTCTCAGTATTTTCTGGAGTCTGGACTAAAATGCCATCTCTGTGTGTACAGAAGGGCAAATTGTAGAAAAAAGGATGTTTTTAAATGTACCCGGATCAGATGATGATCCCGGCACAGATGATGACTGGAGCTTCACTTTGCACTGTTTCAGCTGAGTCTTGCGCTTCATGTACCTGAAGGCTTGTATTACAGTCGTGACGAGTGCCGAGTACAGCACGCTTTGTACTCTACATAGGGTCACATTAAAACAGCCACATAATTGTTGGTGTTTGAGGATGAAAGGAGAGTTTGTTTTGCAAAAAAATCCCTTAAATTAAATGGACTGTGTGCTTATTGCCTTATATAAATGGCAAACACTAGAACTGTCCCATAAACACTCAAAAGTAATTTTCAATCTCTCAGCTGTAAATATTTATACATATGATAAAGTAATGATAAAGTATGATTTATATGATAAAGTAATTTATTATTTATTACATTATAAATGTTTTACTGTCATTTTTTTATCAGTTTAATTTGTCCTCAACTAGAATAAAAGTGTTTCAAATTTGCATGCAAAAATGAATATGTAAGGCCCCGCTACTACATTTTTAGGAATGCAGGCTTCCATAAACCAGCCCATAATTTGCAAGTTAAAAACATATTAATAGCTCTTGTTTATTTGTTCCAGGGACTTAACGTCAGATGAAACGTACACCTACCATGTGCTGACAGTATCTAGAAGAGCAGAGAGTGAACCATCTCCACCTCTCTCTCACCAACTGGGCTCACCCTACTGTGGAGATGGACTCATCCAAAAGTCAGTGCACTCTCTTGAACTTCAATGAACTTCAATGCAGTGCTTACAATGCACTGCAATGTAGCAGCGATGTTAATTGTGTGATGTAACTCTTTTAATGAATTAAATGTGTTTGCCTTTCAGATATCTTGGAGAGCAATGTGATGATATGAACTTCGCTAATGGAGATGGCTGCTCAATCCAGTGCAAGAAAGAACCATTATTCAACTGTGTTGGTATGTGACCATCAATGGAATAGTCCATAACTTTTGTCTTTTTTAGCCTCTTGTCATTCCAATCCATATATGAAGAGTTCAGATGCAAAAGCCTCTAAATGCCATTTGAAATTTTCTTCTTTAATGATGATTTTTATCAAACTTTTATATTTAAGTTTAGGAATTTCACTTAAATAACAATTAATAGGTAATTATCATAGCCATTTAAGTGAAATTACTGAACTTAAATATACAAGTTTGATAAAAATCATCATTAAAGAAGAAAATTTCAAATGGCATTTAGAGGCTTTTGCATCTGAACTCTTCATATGTATTTTTTTTCTAGGGAAAACAAATGGAAAATTTGTGAAAAGTCTTTGAACTGCTCTTTTCTATTCAGTGACGTTCAAAGACTTTTAGGTTTCAGTATGTATCTCAAACAAAGCTTTGTTAAGTCTTCAGACTTAGTCCCCCCCCCCCCCCCCTTTGTTATGGGAACCTGACAGACCTGGTGGTTCCCTAACTGTCATTGTATGGAAAAGAGCTGTAAAATACCTTCTTTTGTGCAAGGCAAAAAAAAAAAAATGGGTTGTAAGTAATGACAGAAATGTCTTTTTTAGGTTGAAATATTCTTTTAATGCTTATTTATTTATCACGATTTCAACAAGAAAGTACAATAAAGTAGATGTATAATAAGTATGTAAAGCATAGCATCAGTTTGATTGATGTTTTTGCTCCGGCAGCATTTAGCTGTATTGCTCATTATACTTCTATAGCGCTCTACTGATGCCGGGTGTCCTGCCATCAATCTCATGGCTTCAGCCTGTCATCAGTGTCACATAGTGTCCTACACTGACAATGCGTGAAAGACCAAGAAGTTCTTTCGTACTACCTCTTTATAGCACAAAACTTTTTAGCTGGTTGTGATGTTAATGGAGTGCTCTAAGTTGTGAGCTAATCAGTTCTGTCAAAACAATTGGGCGCATAATTGGGACCCTCTTACAGACATTTAAGTCCCTTCACAAAAGACTTTACTCTTTGCTGTAGAGCTCTAAGATCTGCCTAACGAGCACTAGCGGACCTTTGTGGCACTTCCTGTTAGCAGTAATGCAACAATCCCCTTTTCTTCTAAACGTGTGGACAGAAAACTGGAGTGGAGTAAAAAAAGACAGAGAGAAGAAAAGCAGGACAGATAAGAAGGGCTTTTGAAGTTTGCTGTTGAATGTAGCCAACATTCATCTAGCTGAAGTCTTGTCTGACCTCTAGGACACCTCTAGAAGTCTGAGGTTGCACTAGTACCCGACAGTGCTTAATTGGCAGTTCCGGCTTTTTTTTCTTTTTTCTTTTTTTATGGGGAAGATCATGGGTGTAGGTTCAATGAGTTTGCATCTTTGGCTGCCTCAAAGAAACAGTTGACACAAATTCAATTTTGTCATTTACATCAACAATGCACAAAAGTAAAAATTCACAAAGACAAATTTTATGAGTTAAAATTGTTGTTGTTGTTGTTGTTGTTGTTGTAATCTTCCAATTAATAATTTTATCCTGTTTACAAACATTGTCTGAATGATTTGTTTATAAATCAGACTGATCCAGTTCTTAAAGTCATCTCACTCACAACAGTTAACAGCTCACTGAATTAGAAAATATTCTGTGAATAACGTCTCAGGTTACGTATGTAACCCTGGTTCCCTGAGAGGGAACGAGAGCTGCGTTGTCTGACGCAATGGGAACGTTCTGCGTGATTGCTTCGTGAAGCGTCTGTACAATCAGTCCAATGAGAGAGTAGGACGTCAGGTGACGTCATTGACCAGGAAACTATAAACCACCCTTGAGATCAGACCGCGACAGCTTCTGGAAAGGCCTGAAGCAAGTCGATGAGGGCATGCAGGAAGTATGGCAGGCGAACACAGCTCTTGTTCCCTCTCAGGGAACCAGGGTTACATACGTAACCTGAGACGTTCCTTTTCAAGGGAACTTCGAGCTGCGTTGTCAAACGCGATGGGAACCCCATACCCACTACGCCATGCTGAGAAATGCCCGTTCTGTGTGAAGTCCTTGCACGCACTAAAAAGCAAGCAACCTAGCCCAGGAGTGGAGAGGCCATGGTCATGAAATCTGAAAAATGTATCTAGGGACATCCTACCACATTACAAATATCAAGAAGGGAAACACTCGGAATAAAGGCCGTAGAGGCCGCCATACTTCTAGTAGAATGACTATCCTCGACTATCCATTTGCTCATAACCTGTTTAGATGCAGGGGACTCTTTCTTGAGTGACCCAAAGCATAGCGTAATTTGCATAGCGTAACTACGCCCCACCCCGTGGGTATAAAAGGAGGAAGTGAACACAACCGCAGTATGTCTTCGCTGAGGACCCAAGACTGAACTCAGGCGTCTACCCAGCGGTACAGCAGAAGTGGCAAGGAGACGTAACGTCTCCGTTCCCTACTCAGGGAACGAGGGTTACATCCGTATCCGAGACGTTCCCTTTCGTAGTCACTCCGAGTTACGTCGGAATGCTGGAGAATGGGGGTCCGTGCCATCACGCCATCTTCACAGCTGTCTTCCAGTGCCCTGCGAAAGTGTGGACTTCTAGCTTAGCTTATAACAGGAGTTACCTACTTTAATGCAGGAATACCACGGTACACTGGGAAACATATCCCGGGAGGGACATGCTACCAAATGCCTACCGCAGGGAGGACTTTCGAATACACATATGGCCTTATTAGGGACTTCATATGGAGATCACTGAAGCACCAACCTGAGGGTGGCTAAGAACTTAACTCCAGGAGTGGCAGATGGCTTGCCAAGGGAAGACACAAGCTCAGAGAGGCTTACAGTGGATAATACACATGTGACAGTTACCATAGGGAACCGTGCACACGGAGGCACCTAGCCGGCATCTAGAGCAAGTGCAGTGGTGCCCGCATCAGAAGTCCTGGAGGACTCAGGGCTTCAACGGAAGACTCACTGAGGAATATCGCACTTATCCAGTCCGAGGAGTGGAATGGTGAGCAAGCGAAGACACCTAAGCGGGTCCAGTACTAGCGGGAGCGAGTACGCGAGAGAACACCGGCTCTATTCGCAGATTATAGAATCTTGCGAAGGTGTTTGGTGTCGCCCAGCCTGCAGCTCTGCATATGTCTGTTAGCGAGGCGCCATGCGCTAGAGCCCAAGAGGAAGCCCCACTCCGAGTGGAGTGGGCCGTCACACCAAGGGGGCACGGTCGACCTAGCTGTTGGTAAGCCAAAGCGATGGCGTCCACTATCCAGTGAGACAGCCGTTGCTTTGAGAGAGCCCTTCCCTTCTGGCTCCCCCCATAACAGACAAAGAGCTGGTCTGAGGTCTTGAAACACCGCGTTCTGTCAACATAGGCGCAGAGAGCAAGTACCGGACAGAGCAGTGCCAAGGCTGGGTCTGCCTCCTCCAGCGGCAGCGCTTGCAGGTTCACCACCTGGTCCCGGAAGGGAGTGGTAGGAACTTTGGGCACATATCCAGGCCGGGGTCTCAAGATCACGTGAGAGTAAGCCGGCCCGAACTCTAGGCACGCTTTGTCAACGGAGAATGCTTGTAGGTCCCCTACCCTCTTGATGGAGGCCAATGCAACCAGGAGTGCTGTCTTCATGGACAGAAACTTTAACTCTACCGATTGCAAAGGCTCAAAGGGAGGCCTCTGCAGAGCACTTAGAACTACTGAGAGGTCCCAAGAGGGCACGAGGGGAGGGCGAGGCGGATTTAGCCTCCTCACTCCCCTCAGGAACCTGATGACCAGGTCATGCTTTCCCACAGACTTACCTTCCACTGCATCATGAGACGCGGCAATGGCCGCGACGTAAACCTTAAGGGTGGAGAGCGACAGCCTACGCTCCAACCCTTCTTGCAGGAAGGAAAGCACGACACCGGTCGGACATCTCCGGGGGTCTTCTCCGCGGGAAGAGCACCAGTTGACGAAGAGGTTCCACTTCAACGCGTAGAGGTGTCTCGTGGACGACGCTCTAGCGGAAGTGATGGTTGCCGCCACCGCAGGTGGCAGCGAACTCAAACCTGCCTCGTCCCGTCCAGGAGCCACACGTGTAGCCTCCAGAGTTCGGGACGAGTGTGCCACAGGGTGCCCCGTCTCTGAGTGAGTAGATCTTGCCTTGCAGATCTTGGAATAAGCCAAGGAGGTGCTGTCGCGAGGAGCATCAGTTCGGAGAACCACGTCTTGGTGGGCCAGTAAGGGGCTACCAGCAAGACCTGCTCCTCATCCACCTTGATCTTGCACAACACCCGTGCAAGAAGGCTCACTGGGGGAAATGCATACTTGCGTGGGCCCCGCGGCCAGCTGTGCGCCAGTGCGTCTGTGCCGAGAGGCGAACTGGTCTATCTGTGCCTCCCCGAACTGGTCCCAAATCAGCTGGACCGTCTGGGGATGGAGTCGCCATTCGCCGGAAATAGGGCGGACCCGTGACAGCTCGTCGGCCGCCAGGTTCCAGTCTCCTGGAATGTAAACTGCACGAAGGGACCTCAGGTGCTTCTGACTCCATAACAGGAGGTGGCGAGCGAGCTGCGACAACCGACTTGAGCGTAGACCACCCTGATGGTTGATATACGCTACCGTAGCGGTATTGTCCGAACGGACAAGTACGTGTTGACCCCTGAGCAGTGCTCGATAGCGGTGCAGGTCCAGGCATACTGCCAGCAGCTCGAGGCAATTGATGTGCATGAGGCGCTGGGGTCCTGTCCAGGAACCCGCGGCTGCATGACCATTGCACATGGCACCCCAACCCGTGGTAGAGGCATCCGTGGAGACAACGACATGCCTGGAAACTCGCAGAAGAGGGACTCCGGCACATAAAAAGCTGAGGTTCGACCACGGAAAGAAGGTCTGGCGGCACGCTGGAGTCACTGGAACTCGGAGCGAGCCGCGATGCCATGCCCACCTCGGGACTCGATCGCGAAGCCACAGATGAAGCAGTCTCATATGAAGCAGTCCGAGCGGCGTTGCCGCGGCTGCGGATGCCATATGCCCCAGGAGCCTCTGAAAAAGTTTCAGTGGGACCGCACTCTTGCCCTCGAACTGTCGAAGACAAGTCAGCAGTGAGTGCGCGCGCTCGTTCGTGAGCTGCGCGGACATGGCGACCGACTCTATCTCCATACCGAGAAAAGAGATCCTCTGCACGGGGCAAGTTTGCTCTTCTCCCAGTTGCATTCTTTTGATCCGGCTCCATCTCTAATCTAGCTCCCGCGCTGCTCCTCTTCCGACTCATTGTGACTGATCACGCAAACCGCCACGCATTTTTTCTTTTTCATATTGGGGCTTCTGAGAAATGCTGAGTTGCCTTACTTTATTTAGACAGTGAATAAACTCGTGAAACAGAGAAGTATCACTGTGTAATCCATTGATTTCAACAATGTAACTGTATTCTAAATACCAACTATTTAAATTGTAACTGTAACGGAATACAGTTACTCATAATTTGTATTCTGAATACGTAATGGCGGTACATGTATTCCGTTACTCCCCAACACATTACTTCATTCCGTTACTTCATTATTTATGATGGCTGGTGGGTAACGTCGGGGTTAATAACGATGACAGCGACTCGGGAGAGAGAAAGCTTGCAAGCGTCCTTTTAACCCGAGGCACTGAAATACCATAATAGCACTTAATACCCAAACATTGCTATAATTAGACATCTGGGGATTAAACACATAAAATATAAACCCTGACGAGGAGGCTGAGATACAGTTTTCTAGTTTTTAAGATATATTTAATCTAAAAACATTTATTATAATGTTCAGCTAGCCAGTAAAATTTTAACTGGCAAAAGCACAAATAAAACCTCCTTTTAAAAGCTCTTCTTTATTCAGCTGATATGAGCTGACTTATTTATTTATTCATTTAAAACTCAAACATCTGCCTTTCTCTTAACATTTTTATTTGTTTTGTACTCTTTCTTGTTTTTGTACCAATTCCTCGGAACTGGAAATCGCAGTCACACTAGATCTGGCATGTGAAAGCTGAGACAGAGCTGAGCCCGTCCCAACCCCCACTGTCAGATCCATTTGCGAACCCCGAAATGCGAGTCGTCTCCGTGTCTCGGCAACAGAGAGACCTGCGTGGGGAACGCGAACCGAACCGTCCTCCTCGGAGAACGCCCGGCGGGAGCGGAGCGTCCTCGCGGGCAGCTTCTTGCAATGCCCACAGTCAGCTCCCTCAAGAACTGACTGCTGGCATGCTCCACTCCCAAACATTGCAACAAATAGCTGATGTGTGTCCCCACCCGTGATGTAACGAGGGCAGGGAACCACACACCGTCTATAATCTTGCTTGCCATAAATATAGGTAGTGATATATATTTCTTTTCTTGGCTTTGACAAACAACAATACATAGACAAGGACAGAGTACAGAGATCGCTTGCTGAAGGCTACAGAAGCTGTCGCGGTCTGATCTCAAGGGTGGTTTATAGTTTCCTGGTCAATGACGTCACCTGACGTCCTACTCTCTCATTGGACTGATTGTACAGAAGCTTCACGACGCAATCACGCAGAGCGTTCCCATCGCGTTTGACAACGCAGCTCGAAGTTCCCTTGAAAGGGAACAACTTTTCCGCCTGTCTGTTCGTCACATCACATTCGTTTTCTATCACATGGCTTCAGAAAACTTGAAATAAAGCTCATGAGTCACACCCCTCTCCCCACCCTACTCCAGGCTGTCTTTTAAAGCAATTTAATCAATTATTGCTTTGATGAAAATTGATGCGAAATCGATAATCAGATGCATGAATCTGTGCACTCTGATTGTGGAGATGGATGCTTTGTGATTTTTGTTTTTTACATTACTCTACAGTCATTGTGCGGCTTTGCCCTGGAGCGCATATTGTTTTCAGTAAAACACGTGATCAACGTGTCGGATTGTTTGAACCCATTATCAGTAACAGTAAACAGTATAAAAAATCCTCAAACAACTCTGTTGGTAAATAGTATTATTATAATTATCATTGCTGTCACATTTAATTTATTGCTACACTTTATTATGTGAATTATATTATCAAAAAACTTAACATTTAGCATTGTCAGGCTTTTTATTTGTGCTTAATGGATAAAACAACGGAGTTGAGCTCAAATGCACTGTTTTGGACACTCTTGATGCTTTGAATCTTTTCCCGAAACAATCAGAGAAAAGATTTAAGAGGCTTAATTTCTCCATCCGTACTCAATAGTTTTAGGCCTCTTTGTAAATGTTTCAATCAAGTCCAGTTATTTTCGAGGGCGTTTAGTCATTTTGAACCTGGTTTTAAACTGTTTTTAACTATCTATAATGTCATTTTTCACCAATGAAACCAAACTAAACTAGCCAATTAGATTTATTTCCACCCATCCCCCATCAACATTGCAAACATTTGACTTAACAACACACAAACGCCCACATTAATTTTATCCTCATTCTCTCTTCCTTTCTCAGATCACAAGTATACAGTACACAGAAAGATTAATAATCAATTTAAAAAGAATCTAAAAAATAATACGCCATTAATTTCCATCCTCTTATGGTATGCCCAGCCGTATTGCTGCAGGTGTTGCTTAGAGCTGGTATCGTACTGCGGGAGGACTAGCATAATCGTGCTCAAGCAAAACTGAGCTGGCAAAATCCCATGCTGGTCCCAGTATGCAAAACAAATCTTCTGCTGGTGACCAGTGAAGCTGGATTTTTAGTAGGATACATGGATTAATTTTATGACACTTTGAAGCTTGAAATCTTCAGTCTATGAAATGTGTATTTTCTATGATATTGTCGAGTATCACTCACTTTTCAAAAATTAAAACAACCAAACAGAATTCTTGATTTAATGACCCCATACATCCTGTCTGGATACTTTCACATACTCTCTAAATAGGTACTTATTTTACTACAAAATTAACTGCTACAAAAGTACAGTATTAATATGTGTAGTATTATGAATTTGATTCAAACATACTAAATTATCCCTTTTGTCACTGTCATATGAATTAAAAGTTGCTCCATTACCATTCACAAATCCTCTCCCGTGGCCTCATGGGATAGTAAAGTGCCCATCGTATTTACACTTCACACTATCTTCACTGTTAGTAGTAGGTCAACCAGTGCATTGTTTAAAAAAAATAAAAAATTTAGCTGTACATGTTTGGAACGGCATGACGGTGAGTCAATGTAGATTTTTTGGTTTTGGCTGAACTATCACACTAAATAATAGCCACTGACTTTCAGCATATTCTTCTTGCTTTTCTACATCTTTGTGTGGAAAGTTGGAGCTCTCTATGTCACTATCAACAACGTCTCAATTTTTGGTTGGTTGCTTTGTCCAAAATAGCTGAACACTTGACAGAAATAAAATATCTTATCACAGCTTCTCAGCTAATGCGACTTGCATTTATGTTGAACGAACCCCAAGACAAACCTCTGATCAGGCAGAAGGGCAAAGATCTTTGGTTACGTCAGCCATACGCTTATATTTTCCAGCATTGTTTTTAACGTGTCACGCGAACCATACGCAGTATCACATTGTTATTACAGTTCTTTCTTTTTTAGTACAGGAAGTGATGTGACAAGGTGCAGCATGGATCTTACTGCCCTTTACACATGGTAGCTTCCTTTGAATGATGTACTGTGGCTGCTGTGTGCCTGAGGATGCCTATAACTTTACATAGTCTGTCCTTGTTAATATTCTTTGGAGCCTCCTGGGGAAAGAGTGTTTGATTTGATAAGTGAACATCTTGCAACCATGTTTCCTGACCGCTGTTAGCATTGATTGACACCTAGTAGCTGTTGATTGCAAGAATGGCTGGACTGAACAGGTGACAGAACGGTGCAGTTAAAAGCGTGTTCCCTTAGTGTCAGCTATACTCGTTCAAATTTTGCTGACACCTCAGGGCCTGGGCGAAGGCAGGGATGGGACATATCAGTCCACAAAACAAAGAACAAACAACACAAAACAATATTTGGAAAGGGTGGACTTCTTATTAAAAAGACCTTCACCTTATAATGGCTGTGGGATTTTAATTGAGAGGATCAGTTTGCCAGAAATGTGTCTAGGCTGCTGATACATGAAGTACAGTCATAAAAGATAATCAATCTGTCATCACAAATGATGATTTATGACTGTCCTTGTTTGAAAGACAGTAAAAAATAGAGCATTTATTAACACTGTGAAGTAATGCCAAGTAAAACAATGAGTGCTCTAAACAATCTTTATGACAATCTAAAAATAATGTCCATTACTTAAATCAGCTGTTTTTTAAGAGGAAAAGTTTTACTCCTGTTATATTGTCACTTCTGTAAAGTTATTATTGTTATTGTTGTTATTATCATTGCAATAATTGATTATTTTAAAAAATTATTTATTTATTTGCATTTTTTTTCAGATTGCTAAAGTGTAATTTATTTAGCATTCCTTTTCAATTATTAAAATAGCTTGAAGCTCTTCTTGTTTTTACTTTTTTATGGCAGGCTACAGTAAGTGAGATCATTTTAAAACTGCACTTTTAACATCAATATTTTAAACGGTTAAACTTAAAACGCAAACTAGTTATTACTTATTCACACAAGTATTTATTTATCAACATTTTGTAATTTTTATTTATTTATTTATTTATTATTATTATTATTTGGATATTATTTCAGAACCTTTTTCTAAAACTTTTTCAAATGGGTATAAATCAAGATTTTTATTACAAATAAACTGTACATAACTGTTTTGAGGCAGATGAGTAGAGGGTTTTAGGTGGTCTGAAAATTTAGTTTCGCAAGTTGTCCGCCAACTGAACATGTCTGAGAACCACTGGGTTAAGGTTAAGGTTGAGGATTGGATTAACTGCTACCAGCTATAACAGTCTGCTTATCTAAGCAGTTGAAATGTATTTCTGTATTGCTCTCAGACCCGTTCATCTCTGCCTCTTTCTCCTCTGAAGATGAGCCCAGCTTGTGTTACGTCTACGACGGTGATGGTGTGTGTGAGGACTTTGAGCGGGAGGTGAGTGTAAGGGACTGTGGTCTCTTTACCCCAAGCGGCTTCCTGGATCAATGGGCCACTGAGGTGCAGGTGTCCAATGAGGAGAAGATGCACTGTCCAGCACAGGTGGCTGTCGGATATCCTGCAGTGACGAAGGTGAGACCACATATTACCACGTATGGTTAAAGAGACATTGGCCTGGTTTCACAGAACGGGTTTATATTAAACCAGAATGAGGCCTGGACATTTAAGAACATTTAAGTACCTTACATAAACATGCCTTAGATATAAACATTACTGGTGTGCTTCTTGAGACAAAACAATGGCATTGACATAATTTAAGATGTGTCAGTGCAACTTGTCTGGGTCTAGGCCACATCTGTGAAACCGGGGGATGAACTTTTACAAGCATACCTTCACATGTGCACAGTGTTGAAGACTCATCCTACAGGATTAGTTTTTTTTTCTTTGAATTATGTATAGTATGTATATTTTCTATACTACTGTAGTTGTTCTTAATATTTTGAATTGACTTATTTTGAATATTTTGATTTGATTTGAGATTCATTTTAGCAATTTTGTTTTGTTCTTTTTAAACATTACTATTTGTTTTAATATGCATTTTAGTACAGATTTAGTTTTTAATGATTTTAAATTTGTATTATCTAATTGGTATTTTTAGGATTAAGCAAAATTAACATTTTTCATTTTAAGTAATTAAGTTTTACATTTACATTTATTCATTTAGCTGACGCTTTTATCCAAAGCGACTTACAATTGCTATATATGTCAGAGGTCGCACCCCTCTGGAGCAACTAGGGGTTAAGTGTCTTGCTCAATCATCACCACCCCAAAAGAAAAAAGATTTTTTTTTTCTAGTTGTATTTCAATTAACAAAAAAGTTTTTTGTTTTAGTTTTAGTTAACTTATTAACTAAAAAAGCCTTAAAACCTTTTTTTAAATCTGTACTAAAAGATATTAAATATTAAAACAAATATATATTTGTTTTAATATTTAATATATTTTAGTACAGATTATACAGATACAGATATATATATATATATATATATATATATATATATATTAAATTAAATACATTTTAATTAATTAAATTAATTAAAACTAAATATTACGCATAATTTTCCACTAAAATAATGCTCTCTAGATTGAGAATGTCCCTCCCACTAATATCACTTGTAATCGACCAGCAAGAAGCAAATCATTATGCATGACTGCAATGAAACTAAAGGTCAATGGATATTTTTAAAAAGTCCCATTCAAACTTACCATGAAGTAAGAAAAACACATAAACGTAGAAAAGGAAATCACTTTCTTAGCCATTTTATGTGGTCTTTCAAGGAGAAAGGGAAACGAGCAGCTATTATTTATGAACTGAAGTGAACAGAAAAATCTCAGATCTAAAATATTGTGTTTATATTGACGATGAAGTCAGATTGAAATGTGTAGTTTTTCACAATAAATGGCTGAGAAACACATTCTGTTAAGGAGAGATTTGAGAGATTGCTCTAACCCTTCACACATGGAAGTAGTAAAGAATTGGCTCTTTCTGAGGGACGTCTAAAAAACTGTGTTGTTTTACTCCCTGGATATTTCAACATGATACATTTGTAATTTTACAGTTTTATTGGCCACTTCTCCACCTCTTCTCCCCCCTCTCATGATGTTTGTGGAGCGCGAGTCTCCTGCGCCCGAAATCGTGCAAGCACCTGAATTAATCATGTCACAAAACTATTCCTATCACGCTGTGCGCAACCTAAGGATTTATGGCACTGAGAAATGCCCATTTTTCACAGTTGAGCTTGAACCTCATTGTGGCTTGAAAATGCATATTGTGGCTCATAATGGGATATGGTGGCACACAGGTTACAATGACTTTGAATATTTAGTCTTGCCAATAAACCTTTGTGTTGAGTTTGTACTGTTACTTCATGGTCTTGCAAGTTTTTATTTAACATGAATTTAAATCTGTTCGAGTTTAAAACAGACTTGCCACTTAAGTGAATCAGTTGGTGATCAATGTTCTTCACTTGTTGTGTGGCACAGCAGCCTACAGAGTTTCAGTACGGAATCGTCGGTCTGCGTACAGTAGTGTACTTGAATCAATGGAGGGGTGGTGGTGGAATGGGGAACAGTGTCACTGAGGTTACTGTGGAGTGCTGAGAGAGAGAGAGAGAGAGAGAGAGAGAGAGAGAGAGAGAGAGAGAGAGAGAGAGAGAGAGAGAGAGAGAGAGAGAGAGAGAGAGAGAGAGAGAGAGAGAGAGAGAGAGAGAGAGAGAGAGAGAGAGAGAGAGAGAGAGAAGAGAGAGAGAGAGAGAGAGAGAGAAATCTCAAGAGACGGGAAGAGTGAATCTAGGAGCGCAGAAACGAATATCCTCTCATTCTCTTTTTTTCACCCCATTTCTCGCTTTCTAAGTCTCTTTTAAGCATTACATCAGAATTCTCTAGTTTTGCAGCTAATTTTGTAACGCTTCATTCAAATTTTATAAGGCATTTAGAGATGAAAAAGATGTTATGAATCCCCCTGCTCCAGTCAGCTCTCAGCTGTCTTAGAGTATTGAATGAAGTGAATTGCCGGTCTCTCACTCAAATTCATGTAGCCTAATATTACATCACCTCTAGATCTGTGAACTGCACAATGATTCCACTTTGAGAGACAAATTCATTTCTGTCTAGAATGATTATGTCCACAAGAAATGTAAGAATGGCTGGTGAAATGTTTTTAATTGTTTCAAAAATTAAACGATGATACTAACAAAGAATGACATGTATTAATATTGGTTTCCTGCAAAAATCTGCAAAAGTCTTCTCTTATTTTCAGTAAAAAAGAAAACAATCCATCAAATATATTTAAATAATTAAAATGTTGAGAAGTTGCTTAAAACAAGAAAAAAAAAATAGTTATGGGGAAAGAAAAATGAATTTCTCATTTAATGAAGCAAATCAGACAAATTAATCACAGAAAATCAAATTCTAATTTTTCTGTATAATTTGAGTCATAAATGTATGTGTAGAAGTTAAAATGAATAAAAAAACCTGAAGTTTGAAGTTATTGTTGATGTTAAACAGGGTGATAAATGTTTGGAGGGGAAATGAGGTCAAGGTAAAGGCCAAAGTTACCAGCACAGCTTTACTGCTAAAAAAGCAGAAAATACCCTTTGGATATACCACCCCAAAAATCCTGGGGACGTCAAATTGTGCAGTTGTAGGAGACAACTTTAGCTTTACCACTGCTGCCCTGATCTGCTCCCACTGCTATTGCTCATACACATACATCGAACACATTATTCGTGCCATTTACTCTGTGAGGAAGCGTGCAGCTCACCAGTGTCACCTAGCGTTGCAACACTGTCACCCCACAGTTGGGTTCAAGGGGTTCAGTGAGGTTCTCTGTCAGATTATTCTACAGTGAAATGAAATGCACTCGACACATTTCACTGTGAAACAGGGGCGTAAAGTTTAGAAGACTTCAACTAGGAATTACAGTAGCTGTTCAATTACAGTTTTTCTCAATTGCTTTGGCTCAGTTCTCAAATGTTTTTTTTTTATTTCCCAAAACATTAAGTTCATATCTCTGAACAATTCGCTTCTTGTTCACATCAGATTGGAATTTCTTATTGATTTGAGAAAATTGCAAATGCTTTGACACATGTGTGCAAAGAGTACATACAACTGTCTGCAGTTTGGACAACAAATAATTGTATATGGCTTGTTGATCAAAACTGATGACTCGATTCTTACTTACACTGTCAAACACTTCAGAACTTCTCAGGCATTTTTTATTGTGTAAGCCATCACATTCAAAACGATCTATTCAATTATCATAATTAGTATACATGCATGTATATTCTAAAATATATCTGACATTGACATTGTTTGTAATGTTTGCTAAATTGGCACATGACTTCTAATTGCATTCGCAATCTAATTTCAAATTACCTCTAATATGAATCAACCATTTAACCATTTAACCAATCAACTTTGGGAATATATATATATATATATATATACAGTATATAGAGAGAGAGAGAGAGAGAGAGAGAGAGAGAGAGAGTATATATTGTATATATATATATATATATATATATATAGAGAGAGAGAGAGAGAGAGAGAGAGAGAGGAGAGAGAGAGAGAGAGAGAGAGAGAAGAGAGAGAGAGAAGAGAGAGAGAGTATATAGAGTATATATGGAATGAGGACATTCACAACCCTGAACTGCAGCAACATGCTCATGGAAGAGCAATTGGAAGGCATGTAAGAATACGTGGTGGTGGTAGAGGAAGAAATAATCGAGGAAGAGGTGGAAATAGAAGAGTCAGAGTCTCTGATGAAATCAGAGCCACACTTGTGGATCATGTCATAAATCTGACCATTGCAGGGGATGGGTGCGGCATTCAAGGAGATTTTTTCCACTGTGTGTGGCAATGGTAACATCAGATGTGAAGTTGATAAATCTTT